GCAGGCCAGTCCCGGGGGGAAGCACCACACCCGCCCTGCCTGGCCATCCATGGCCCTGCGGAGCGAAGGCCCCCCTGTGGTGCCTCTCTGCCTCATCTCACCCATCATGCAGAACAACCCCTCCAACCAATGTAAATGGTGACAGCCACCCGATGAGCAGTCTTACCATAGTCGTTCTGTGGGGGGAAAGCATTCACTGGGGAGACTCCATGGAAGCCATCCTCAGCCTTGTCGCCTTTGGGGAATGTTCCCTGAGGGGGAGGAATTTAGGCTGAAAGATTTGCCATCCCGTCCCAAGGCAGGTCTTCCTACCTGCCCAGAGGAAAACCAAGGCCATCTTGCTGTATCACCTGGGGTAGGGGAGGGCACAGGGCAGGGACTGAGGTTCCCATCCTGAGTTTGCAAACCGGCTGCCTCACGTCCTCCACCGTGACCTCCTGGCTGGACTAGGAAGTGAGTGGCTTCCCCTGTGTCCACACAAGCCCACTCTACTCCCACCTTCTCCACTCTGGAGACTTTCTCCCATCTGCCTCCAACCCCACGTGCCCTGGGAAGAAAGGCTCCGCTTCCCCTCTGTGTCCTGGCCCCGGCCTGCCTTCTCAGGGACCACTGCTGCCCGTCCTGTGCTCGCTTGTGCATCTCTGTTCCTTCTACCACCAGCAGGCTTCACTCTCCCCACTCCACCTCCTGACTCCACCTCCCTCACCCCCTGCTCATTACCACCAACATTCTGGAGAAAGGAACCTGTATTTGCCCATGCGATTTGTTCAGTTCATTCCGTTTTCATTAAGATTGGAGTTCAGCTGCCTCCGCTCTTACAAAAGGGAAGATGAAGGGGCGGTAACTTACTCGTCACCTACTACACGCTAGGGCTGCCACGTCGATCTCTTTTAATCCTTACAAGGTTGTGAGGCAAGTATTTTCTCCCTTTAAAAAGCTAGCAAGGGAGGCTCAAAACAGTTCCTTTATCAAAGATCACACAGTGAATAAGTCAGATCTGGCTTTTCGAAAAGCTTTGGTCCCAAGATCATCTAAAAGGTCAGTCTACCGCTCAGGCCCCTTTCAAGGCTTCGTCCTAGAGCCCAGGTGCTGTGCTCCCCTCACGCTGCAGAGCCTCCCAGTGACAGCCTTCTTGCCTAAGGTAATGCTGTTGACTCCCAAGCCACTTGCTCGGACCCAGACCTCTGTCCTAAGCTCCAGAATCATGTTTTCAACTTCTAACTGAGCACATAAATGACCCAAAGGCATCTTAAGCTAGGTGGATCCTAAACTGACCGGTTCCCCCACCATGCGTGTTATCTATTCCGGATAATGGTTGCAACATCACCCTATTGCCCAAGCCTAGATTCATGCTTGAACCCAACTATCTTCCCCTCCCCATTTGGCTAAGTATCACACCCCATCTCTCTTCTCAGGCAGGCCCCTCCCACTTGGTTTCCTCTTCATTCCACTTCCACTTCATTCAAGTGTTCACAGTCCCCTGGGCACAGCCTTGAGTTCAGAGACCTCCTGCCACCACTGCAGCTCTGCTCACCTGGTCCGGCGCAAATCTGCCACAACCAGCACCCCACCCCCAATCAAAAGGATGTCCTGACTCCCCTGTTTAAAAACCTCTGTCAGTTCCCCACTGCCTGGAAGATAAAATCTAAAACCACATCACGGCACCCCTGGTCCTTCATAATTTGCCTCCAACCCACCACCTACTTTATCTCCTGCACCCCCCGTTTCCCTGTGTGCTAGCATCTCTGAATCTGTCATGCCACCAAACACACAGCACCCTTTCCAAACCCGGCACCCACACTCATGTTGTTTCCTCCGTGGAACACCCGCTCCTCCACTTTTCACGTGGCAAGCTCTGGCTCAATCAGCTCAAGTAGCATCTTGTCTGTGACGTCCCTCCCTGCTCTCCTGGCAGTGACGCACTCCCAAGCACAGCCGCGCGTCTTCACTATGAAGCACCATAGTACCGTCTCTGCTTTACTCCGTGCCAGTTTTCCATTCCACTGGAACATGAAGCCTCCTGAATCCCACTGTCAAACACAACGTCTAGGCTACAGAAGGTCTCAATCAATGCTCTTAGAGACGACAGGAGCGAGGGACGTGTGTCTTACCTGCCACAGGTTGGTGCGGTTTGGCTGGAACTGGTTTCCCCAGGGGTAAACCTGACCTGCCAAGAGAGCAAGGAAAGAGCAGAGGAGGGAGGGGAGAGGAGGTGGGGAAGAAGGGAAAGACAGAAAGAGCGAGGGAACCGAAAGGAAGTTAGGATGTGATGCGAAGAGTAAATTACTCACTTTTATTTGCCACGCCCCTCCCTCCCACTACTATTGCATTCGGAGCGCCTGGCCTGATTTGCTCCAGGACACTACAGTTCTAGGTGTGGTTCTGACCAATGCCACTCTGTAAACTATTCGTTCCCAGCTTATGCTGAGGTAAGTACAGAAACTGAGAGTAAGCACTGAGAAACTTGTTAATGTGACTTAGGTTGGATAAATGAACAAGCAACCTCGTTTATCACATTAATAACTCTGACTACGTACAGCCTGTGTTCGTTCAGTGAGTGTGCAGAGGTGCTGAATATGGGGAATTGCTATTTCATTCTAACTTTCTGTTTAGTTAGGATTGCAACGTAACAGTTACAAGCAAACAGCAATTTGTTATATTAATCCCTGTACAGCTATGGAAAAGGTATACAGTATAAGTAATTCTTTTCTTTTTCCCTATGCTGTGTTCTTCTGATTATATTTATTGAAGTGCAACATGTCTGTGGAATCTCCAGCAATTAAAAACAGTATGTCCCTTTGTCTCCATTTTCCAGTTATTAATTTTTACTTTATGGAAGTTCTGGTCTAAGACGGATTAGAGATAACAACCACAAGCTCAGTGGTAGAGCTCATGCTTAGCATGCATGAGGTCCTCGGTTCAATCCCCAGTAAATCCATTAAACCAAAAAAAGTTAACACTGATTTATTATAAGTTGACTATACTTCAATTAAAAAAAAAAGAAACACTCTTACACAGTGTAAGAAGCACTGCTCTAGGGAGCACGGGCCATTCCCAACCCCTTGCAAAAGCAGGATGGGGAGAAAGAATAAAGGGAAATCGCCGTGGCATCTCTATACCCTTCAAGCCCCCTCGGGCAGCGAACTCCCACTCCTCCTCAGTGGGCAGCCGTTTCCCCCGCCAAGCACAGTAGGCACGCGCATCATTCCAGCTCACGTGTACCACTGGGAGCTCCAGTCTCTCTCGGATGCCAGAGCCAGGACCTGCAGGCTGATAGCCAGGGTGAAGTGAGACAAGCTTCAGGGACCCCACGGAAGTCTGAGGAAGGCTAGGCTTAGGGCGCCTGAGCTCACCTTTTACCACTAGATGGAGCAAGGACGTGGGAAGAGAGAGCCTGGTGAGTGAGGAGAGGTCCACAGTCAGAAAGAGACTAAACATGAGATTAAAGGGAGAAATGGGATGGGCAAGAGCTAAAAGGACTACTGCAGAGGAAACAGAGTTGCTTGGCCGCTTCCCTGAAATCTCTCTGTCATCCTTTTAAACTCAGTATTCCTAAAAGGGCAAGGGGTCTAGAGAAGCCAGGCCTCCAGAATAAGAGTCAACAGGGGTAGAAAACAAGATAGAGAAACCCTACCTGCCTCCAGAACGCCTTTTCCACTGGAAGCCACCACAGAACAGACTATAAAAAAAAAGGAGCATGCAATTAAAAAAAAAGGTGGGGGGAGGGTACAGCTCAAGTTGTAGGGTGCGTGCTTAGCGTGCACAAGGTCATGGGTTTAATCCCCAGTACTTCCTCTAAAAATAAATAAACCTAATTACCTCTCCTCCAACCCCTCCACCAAAATAAAATAATTAAATAATACAATTTAATAAAAAAAAAAAAAAGAAAAGGAACATGACTACAAGATGCTCTGATCCAGCAAGGGAGCCTTCCTGACTGACACATGGGACGCAGAGTGGAGACTTCAGGGTGAGACTAAGGTGGTCCAAGTGAGGCTGTATCTGGAATCTTTAAATTGTGACATCTTACCATCCATATTAGAGGGAGGCTTGTCAAGATGTTTGGTTGTTGCTGGTTCCGGGAGCAGCACATGTCCTGAATCAAGCATGTTACCTAGATCTTTACAGAGTCTCTCTTTGCAGAAACCAGCACAGGGTTAACTTCCTGGGAGTGTGTGTTCATCTGACTTTTTTTTTGTGGGGGGGGTCCTCTCTTGCTTCCTCCCAGCCTCCAGATCTCAGGTTTGATTCTCTACTCTGGCCCAGGTGACCCCATATCCCACGAGATTCTCTGTCCAGGTCCCACTCTCATGCTGTCAGCTGCAAACCCAGGTTCTCTCACCTGCATTTGGTGGATTGCTTTGTTTCTAAGCTCATCGGAGACAAGGTCCTCAAAGACAAAGCTCCACCCAAACATCTCAGCCTCCGTCCGGTACTTTTTCTCCCTGACAAACTCCCTGGGAAAGAGACATTTCACATGGTTCAGCTGATATGGCTCTGTGCTCTACTCTCTCCCTCTCCTGCTCCAGAAAACCTCATATATCCTTATCCTATTAGTCACACATTACAGAATTTTTCTGAACTACAAGGAATTAACCTGAAAGCCTGAGCAGGAGATTTCTTTTTAAAATCTGTTGCTGTGTATGCAATTCACAGACAGTAGAATTCACTCTTTTTGGTGTATAGTTTTGTGAGTTTTGACAAAGCATGTAGTCACGATCACAATCAAGATACAGAGGAGTTCCATCAGCCACCTCCCAAAATTTCCCTATGCCTCTGCAACCAATGATCTGGTTGTTTTTTGTTTTTTGGTTTTTTTTGTCTCTATAGCTTTGTCTTCCCAGAATAAAAATTCACATAAATCAAATCCTTTGATTTTGGGGTTTGGTTTCTTTCACTTGGCATGCTTCCGAGATTCATCCATGTTGTTGCCAGTATTGACAGTCTGTCCCTTGTTATTGCTGGGTTCATTATATGGATAGTCCATATTTTGTTTATCTATTCACCAGCAGCAGGTCACCTGGATTATCTCCAATTTTTGGAGATAATGAATAAAGCTGCTGAGAAGATTTAAGGGTAGGGAATGGGTTTCTCTTCTGAAAGGTCTTCATCACATACCTAATCTCACAACAATCATGGGAGGGAGGCAGAATAAGCATTACTATCTCTAACAGATGAAGGAAACTGAGTCAAATAAAAATGGCTTGCTGAGATTTTAGAATGGATTTTCATATAGTTTGGTATGGCTTAGAAAATTTCAGCAAGCAGATTTCTGGGGTAAGGCAGACTGTTTTCATTGGGCTAAGAGTACCCTCTCTGTGCCAGCCCTCTGACATGAGAAGACATTGTTCCACTATCAAAGGGGCATTGAGAATGGAGGAGGAGATCAGATTTGGTAGCAATAGCTATTTACCAACCTCAGATCATCTGAACAGTCTCATACCCTTACTAAAGAGTCAAAGACAGAATATGAGTTCTAAGCAAAGTTTATGGGGCTTACTAGAGATGACATATTTCTATCATGTAACAGGTCATAATTTGAAATATAAAAGAATCCATCTATCTATTTCTGGTTACCATGATATGGTACAAACTTGATCAGAAGTGATTTCTCCTTCAATTTTAATAACTCTCCTGTTTAAAAATATTTTTAAAGAACATATAAGCAATGCACCCTGTATTGTAGAAAACTGAGAAAATAGAAGTAGGTAAAAAGAATAAAATTAAAATCATCATCCAGTATCATACCAACTAAGATACAACTGTCCATATTCTCCCTCTCCCAAACCAAGGATTTTTAAATAGCTTTACTATGGTGCTTCCTGTAATCATTTTCATTTGGAAGTCACAAAAACATGAGCGAAATTCATCAACAAATGCAATGTTACATCTTCCTGTTCTCTTTAAATGCATATACGTTCTATACACATAGTTTAAAAAAATGAGATGGTACCTTATTTAGTATTTTATAACCTACTTTCTTCATGTAACACTTCCTATCTCTTTTTGACAATGGAGTTTTTAAAGGGCAAAGTATTGTTATATTGATACAGTATGTTTAAGTAATCCTTACATTTTTAATATTTGCTTACAATGTCATCTTTTTAGCTAAGTGTTTTTGGACAACCTTAATTTTTTCTTTCTTTTTTAAATCTTTTTTTTTTTAAATGGAGGTACTGGGGATCGAATCCAGGACCTCATGCATGCTAAGCATGTACTCTACCGCTGAGCTATATCCTCCCCCCATTAATTCTTTAAGACAAGTCCCTAGAGGTGGAGTCAAATGAGTCAAAGGACCTGAGGAGTATACTGACAATCATTATGCTCTTTCTGCCTGTGTCTCCTGAATCAATTTTTCCCTCACAACCTTTCACCTTGAAGAGTTTTAAGTACACAAATGTAATAGTTAAAGTCATTTCCCACATTTGCTTTATTGTCTTCCCATCCACTCCTCTTCCTTCTCCCCTCCTCTCTATATACTACCCCGCTACCCTCTGAAGGTGAGTTGCAGATATGCTCTGGATCACTTTCTACTTTAGCCGACCCAAAGCATATCACCCTGGGGAAACTGAGGCAGCTCAGGATGGCTTCTTAGATTGAGCTGGAAACATAATGTTTGACTCCTAAAACAATGCCATTTCCCTAAGTAAATATAAGGGGAATTTAAGGGACTCTCAGCTAGTAGGATCCTTTTCCCAGTTCCTTCTTCCCTGCTGAAGAGGCTTCTGTTGAGTATTTTTGACTTCTGCCCACATTTCTCAGTGCTATGCCTAGTGTACTGGGCAAACACTGGTTCAAGAGTCAGGAGATGTGCCACTAGCAAAGAGTGAGGAATTCAGATTCTTCATCTTAAAAATGTAAATAACACCACTGCAATGATGATATGTGATAGTGAACAAGCTAATTCCTATTATGAAGATTAGACTAGCCTTTGCTCTTCCTGGAAGAACATTTGGTGTACCTGAAATCTTTGTTGGTGACAGGAAATACATCAATGGCAAAAGGTTTTACTGCCACTTCCCGGACAGGTCCTTCACCATCTCTGCCATCTGGTGAATTTGTTCCCATCTGGAATCTCCCACCTGGGAGCTGGACCATGCTAGTTGTCTGCCCATTCCCTGCAGAGGAAAAAGAGAGTTGTCAGTACTACATGAATGTACATAAAACTAGTGGCAGTATTTGGATCATATGTAAGACTCATAATGGTATAATGAAAAACAAACAGAGGCTTTAAAAATTTGGCTTTAAATTCTTGTTCTGCCACTTGATTTGCTGGGTGATCTTGGGCAAATTAGTCTGGATTTCAATTTCTTCATCTGTAAAACGGGGATAACATCTAACTACCTCATGGTCATGGCTGTATTAAAATAACATGTATGTAATGTTTAGCACATGGTAGGTTTTCAACAAATGCTTTTCTTTCCTTACCTCTCTATTCTTCTTCACAACGCTTTGTCACAAGACAAATCTAGACACTATACTCTGAAATACATCTATCATCTGTCTTTCTTTCTTTCTTTCATACGTCTGCTCATGCTATTTCCCTGCCCCTTCCTCTCCACTTGCTGAACTCTTACCAGTTCTTAATGATTTTCACCATTACATCATATGCTCCAGAGAGAAAAAGACAACATCTATTTTGCCAGTGTATCCCTGGCACCTAGCACAAGTGTACACTAATTACCATCAAATAACTAAATGAAATCCTTCATACTTGCTATTTGAATGCTTCTGAAAATCACAGAATTAAAAGCATCTTTAATTCAACCCTCACATTTGACACAAGGAACCCAAGATCCAAAAGGGAAACTGACTTAAAGAGCTAGTTAACAGGGGACAGGAGTAGACCCAAGTCTCTTAACTTCCAGGTCAGTGCTATTTCCAACAGCCACACTTGTCAGGCTTGATGTACTACTTTCTGGTATGCTTCTACCTAAGGACGTCTAAGTACCATAAATTCCGTAAAGGCAGAGCCCACAGCTTTTCATGTTCCTCAGGGTCCTATCTTTGGCCTTCACGTTCTCATCTTGACACATTCATACTGATGTTTTCATCCACTTCAAGGGGTGAAAAAAAAGAAAAAAAAAAAAGAGCAAGCACAGAATTCTCATGTTAAAAGGGAGCTAAGAAACAATATACAACTGTTTGTATATGAACTTTATTTTGACACTAATTCAACAAGTAAAGTATAATTTGAATACTAACTGGATGTAGGTGAATTTGAATACTAACTGGATGTTTAATGATATCAAGAAGCAGTTAATTTTTTAGGTGGGAAAGTGATACGGTGTTTTTGTGTGTATGACTTGTCTTTTTGGCTATTCAAGATGAATATTTGTAAGTAAAATTGAATGCCGATTCACTTCAAAATTTATTTCCCTGGGGAAGGGGAAAGTGGGATGGATCCCAAAGGATTAAGATTAAAGCCATAACCTGGCAACCGTTAAAGTTGGGCAAGGGGTACGTGGTGGGGAGACGCTCGTTATATTCTCCTCTTTTACTTTTTTTAAGTTCAAACTATTCCAAAGTAATTAGTTAAAAGTAAAAAAAAGAAGTGAGATACGATCTGAGCTGTTAACGACCTGGCCAAGTTGGCCGCCTCTGGAAGAGGCCCCTAGGCCGCTCCAGGCCCTTGGAGGAAGCGGGCGGAGGGGCCATGGTCTCGCTCCACCAGGACGGAACGCCCTACCACTTTCCTGACGCCTCCTGGGACAAACGACGCCAGGGGGAGTCGGGAAGGGGCAGCACACTGACCTAGCTCGAGCCACAGGCCGGAGAGAAGCGACAGCAGAGTCAACAGCGGCAGCGTGGAACCCATGCCGAGAACGCGAGCCCCGGGAGCATCACAGGGTACGCCCCACGGTGCGGCTCTGCTGCGCATGCGCACCGCACGCATCACGCCGGCGACCACACCTCCCGCGCGCGCGCACGCACTGCTCCTAAGCGTCCTCGTTTAGGAAGTCAACCCAAGGACGTTACTTCAGGAGCTGGGATGGCGCTGCGGCCGGAGTTCCACGGGCTGCGGGGCCGCGTAATTAAGTGCAATTTTCTCAGGGTTAGTGTCAAGAGGCCCTGCCGTTCCAGAAGCCCCTTCAACATACTGTTAACTTTCGGACTGATTGATTCCCTTCCCTTTTATATTCAGATTCCCTTTGTGCCCCGGAGTCCCACCGCAAGATCACAGGAAAGGTTTCAACTTAACATTTATTGCACACTCATTGTAGACAAGTGCCAAGTCCTCAAAATACAAAGCTTAGCAACACACAACCTCACTTTCACGGACTTTAGAAATACACCAACTGTGTAAAACCAATTTTGTGGAAACTTTGAGGGGAGAACAGTAATTTGGGTGAGAAAAAGATGACAGTGGAAGGTTTCGGATGGATATTTAAGCATAAACCAAGGTTCAAAGATGTGAAACCAGTCTGCCTGAAAATCTCTTCTCACTTAGCCCTTAGCCATGTTTCTACCTCTGCCCTTCCTACTTTGCCACTTTACACGTACAGCTCTTTCAGCTTCCTTACTTCTAGTTCACCCTTCTCTCTATTCACTACAACTTAGTTCTGGGAAACAATTTAGCAAAGCTATTTTAAAAGCATGGAAAGTAAAATTGATCAATTTTACTCATAGAAATTTATACTAAGGAAAAAGAGGCTTTCAAGATCTTAAATTACTTAAGAGAATTAGCATAAAATTATATTAGCGTAAAAATTTAACACTTAAATGCTTAACAACAGGGAGCTATTGGAGATAAAATACACCCATCAGAAGAAATTATTCAACCATTAAAATTTGTTTTTCAAGGAATATTTAATAACAAGGTAGATAACATATGCTTATCTAACATGAAATTTTCTATCACTGAGGCTAAAGCAACACATCCTGTTCATTGGATAAACACGGCATGCTGCATTGTGTGTACAATGCAGGGCAATTTAAAAAATACTGTAATTATAATTTAAGAACTTCAGAATTTGAATAGGTGCCAGTGTTCTCTTCCTTTTTCATATGGGAAAAGAAAACTCCTTTGAAAATCATGTTAAGTTTGGACACAAATTCCATAGCTGTATTCTTAAGATCACTCTGCAGTCTTCTTGATTCAGATGATACAAAGGAAGCTTCAATTCAACCTTTTAGAGAAGACATTCCAGCTCTCATGATCTCATCAACCAGGAGAATGTTGGTGGCAATCACAGTGCTGAAAGGGGAGAAAAAAATCAGATGGCTCAGGTTTGAGTTACGAACCCTAATTCAATTCAATCTCCAACTAGACTGTGCAAATTACAACCAGTTAAATTTGCCTTTCCCCTCCATACACAGAAGCTTAGTTGCTCTACTTACGACCAATTACATTTTCTTATGGAGAGAAAAGTGACTAAATAAAACATACCAAATTAAGAGTATAATGATTCCCTAAAGGTTAGTTTATAGTTTTGGCTTTCCCAAACTCACCAGGAGTGAAGAAGCTGTTTCTTTACACAATAGTTATCCCATATGCCTACTTCTGCTGCCACCAGTGGCTCACCTGAAAAGTAACCGAGTATTCTCAAAATCACACAGAGCAGGTCATAAGATCAGAATACTGTCTAAAAGAATTAAGAGTATTTTGTGCTGCTTTACTCATCACTAGTTACTTATTTCCTCTAGTATTAACCATGAGAAACCAGAGTTCCTCCATTAGCCCAGTACTGTACTCCAAAACATGACTCCTGTGCCCAGCAGCTTTGATGAGTGGCTGATCTCTACTTAGAATACTTCCAATGACAGGAATGCTCTACTTGTTTACCAAATATTTGAACACCTCTGTTTATCTATCTGGACACATTCCTGTCCATATTAAAGTATAGCACTTGAACTATAATCTGGCAAAATGGGCTATTTCCCTCATTTCAGAAACCTTCTATATTAAATTGAATCTAAATGATGCTGTTGACAACAGCAGGTCTTACCTATACTGCGTGGATGTATGTTACCTCTCTTCCAGTCTATACCTGTGTATTTGTACTACACTGGCCTAAGATCAGGGCTTTAATCATTTAATTAGATTTCGTTCCCTCTTCCAGCATTATTTGCTATCCTCAGCCCTTTCCACCTGTGAATAGTCGTCAAATATACCTTTTTAATCAGTTTCTGACAAAAAAGAGAATTAAGCAAGCCCAATATATTAACCTGAATCACCTGCCACAACTCAGAAACACAAAACCTGTACTCTTCAAAAATTTTCTAATGTATACTAGATTACCTTAATTACTATATCTAGTCATTACATTTTTAAGTCACTACACTTTTATATCATATTTTAGTCATTACATTTTCATATCTTGTTTTAGAACCCAGAGATCCCTGATGAAGGTGTCAAACTGCAAAGCAACTCCAAGATTCTTTTGTCCTATTTTTTATCCTTTCTGCCCTTACCTCCCCTATAGCATCTAGTTCTTCCCTACAAATAATCCTACAAATAGTCACATCTTCTTACCTGTGTTCAAATCCACACCCACAAGTTGACCTGATTCTGAATGTTCTGCTTGAACTTTAACTAGTGTCTCCTGAAGGTCAAAACCAGAGTTCTGAGCAAGAACCTAAAGGAAACAAATGTAACCCTTTAAACGATAGGACCTAAGAATTGAGAGTGAAATCTATAATAAATGAACAGCATTTCTAATTTTTTTTTAAAAAAAACCTTAATTAGAGAATGACTAGATATACATTACTAA